GTGTCCCTATGTGTCCTTGTGTGGTGTGTGTGTCCCTGTGTGTGTGTGTCCCTCTATGGTGTGTGTCCCTGCGTCCCTGTGTGGGGTGTGTGTCCCTGTGTGTGTCCCTGTGTGTGTGTGTCCCTCTGTGGTGTGTGTCCCTGCATCCTGTGTGGGGTGTGTGTCCTCGTGTGTGTCCTCCGTGTACCCACAGGGAGTGGGTATGGGAGGCTGGGCTGGAACTGGGTGTGGAGTGTGAACCCACACTTCTGTTGGGCTCCTGGATCCCGCAGGGGAGTGGGAGGCTGTGCTGCTGGCCAAGGGGCTGTGACCGGCCACGGAGCTAGGGTGACCTCCCCGTCCCTGCCTTGCCTCCAGGGTGAGTCAGGCTCAGCCCAGGCCCACCTGTCCGGTGACACCTCGCTCACTCCTGAGGCTGTTGGAGACAGAGTCAGGCTCAGCCCCAACCGCAGGAGCCCGGGAAGTCCTGGGAAGAGGCATCTGGAGGCCTCTCTGGGCTGTGCAGGGGCAGAGGGAGCGGCAAAGGCTGGACTGGAATTTGGAGGGGAGTCAGGACTGGAGTGGAGTTTGGGACTCCAGGTAGTCTCACGGTGACAGGGAGCACTGAGGGACTTGGGAAGGTGCCAAGGCCTCCACTGTCAGGGGTTTCTGGCTTGGACAGGGGAGCCACTCTTTTTGCACAAGGGCCAATTTAGAAAAATCTAGAAAACAAAAAGGCTTCAGTCCCCATCACAGACAGCACCCATTTCAGATGGGGATGGCAGGATGGGGCCCCCTGGGAATGATATGCATGGGCCCACCATGCCCTCAGCCCTTCACCTCCTCCGCTCAGAGCCAGATTGCACCCCACGCCCGCCCGGCTGCAAGAGAGGCTGAGTCAGGGCCCTGGGTTTGGGCTCCTCTTCCCAGAAAGATGGGGAGAAAGGATGTGCAGCTGGCAGCAGACAGCCGGGGCCGGGGCCTGGGAGGTGCGCAGAGACTTGTCCAAGGTCTCCGGGATGGGCCCTGAACTTTTGGGCTTGTAAACAGGGCACCATTCTCAGGCCAGGGAGCACCTGCCTGATCAAGAAAAGGAAGCAACAAGACTCGGCCAGCTCAGGAAGCCTCAGTTTCCCTCCTGAGAGTTGGAGATGGGACACTACCTGCTTGCAGGGCCTATGTGAGGCTTTCAGGAGATGGAGCCTTGGCAGGTTTAGGGCAACCCCACTGCCCTACAAGGCTCATCGCTCTTCTTGGCTCACCTGGGAAGTGGCCTGCCGGATGGTGGGCTCGGCTTCTCAGCCCCATCCTGAGATCCACTGGTGCCCGCCTCTGTGGCGGGAGGAAGGAGGGCCAGCCACTTGGGCCCCGCCTGTAGGAGCTGCTGGCAGCAGGTGGGCTAAGTCAGGCCACAGGGAACCCCATCCGCCCTCTGGGGCCCTCCTTTCCACGTCCGTGCAGAGGGCCCTGGTCCAGGTCTCAGAGGAGGAGTCTGGGTGCCCCAGGACAGACCCTAACTCAGAGCCTGGGCTGGGGGTGGGGTCATCCCTGGGACACACTGTTGTGCCCAGGACCTGGTGGCAGAGCAGGGCGGGAATGGCAGAACTGACCCTCCAGCCCCGGTGCTGCCCGACCTGCTAGACTCGGGAGACCTCTGCTGGCTACAGACAGAAGTGCACAGCTCCCCACCAGAGGAGAGGCCGGAAGCTGGGGAGGCCCAGCTGGAGGGAGGGACGCCCCCTGCACCCCCCTGCACCCCCATCCCAGCCAACTCGGGGTGCGGGCTGTGGGGAGCTCACAGCCTCCAGTCTAGGGCGCCAGGGTGGGAAGGACACCAGGAGGCCTCTCACCAAGCACCCTCTCCCCTGGGTGGCCAGGCTGCCTAGGGCCGTTAATTGGCTCTATTCATCCCCTTAATGAGATGGAAATGAGGCTTCCAGACAGAGCTGGCATTGAGTGGGGGAAGAAAGGCGGCTTCTTTCCGGGCCTGGAGGGGCAGCCCACCCCCCAGCCTGCTTGCTGCTCCTCTGCTGCCCCTCACTGCCCACCCAGCTCAGACACACTGTGGCCACCCAGCAAAGGGTGGCTTGAACACCTCTGCGCCCCTGCACTACAGACCCCAGGGGCTCCATCCTGGCTTTGATGCATTCACTGGGCAAACACTTATTGAGTGTCAGCTATGTGAGGGGACACACATAAAAAACAAACCAAGAATAAAAGTAGCAGCTACTGTTTTCTCAGTGTTCATTAGTAGCAGGAGTGTGACCAAGATGAAGGATCAGTCTGTGACTGGGATCAGGGCTCAGTATGTGACAGGATCAGGAATTCTGTGTCCAGGACCAGAGGTCAGTCTGTGATGAGGAACAAGGCTCAATATGTGACCAGGGTCAGGAATCAGTGTGACTAGAATCCAGACTCAGTATGCGTCCAGGGTCATCTTGTGACCTGGATCAGGGCTCAGCACGGGTCCAAAGTCAGGGCTCAGTATGTGACCAGGGTCAGGGCTTGGTTTGTGGGGGCAGGGTGATCCATCCTCTGGGCCAGTGTCCCCCCTGCACAGCCTCTTCTGATGTGCCCCCGCCCCTTCTCCCCCTACCACATCCTTACCACCTGGGTCACCAAGGTAACCAGCCCTGAAATGAGTGGGTGTTTTGGCAGCTGAGGCCTAACCTGGGTCTATCCTGAAAGGCTGCGCGCTGCAGCAGTTGCCATGGGAACCGAGTGGCATCCTCCGATGAGCCTGGCTTGGACACCCTCTCTCTCCCACCCACTGCCAGTTTCCACGTCACTCAGGCTTCCGCGTGGGGGTTGGGCTGGGATGGCGAGGGGGGTGCTGCAGTACGTGCCACCCTGACCCATTGCCAGGCCCGCCTCTCAGGACCCCATCTGTGCCTTTGCCTCATAATCGGGGGGTGAGATGCCTTCAGCAGGGGAGACCACTGAGGTCTGGAGCGCCTGGGCCCCGGTCAGTCCTGGCAGGAGGCCTTAGTCTGGGGGATGGGGGGGCGTTTGGAATCTGACCACCAGTTCAAGTCCAGGTTCCTCTCCTTGTCCTGAGTTAGGGCATGTGACAGGGCAGCCACGAAGGGCCTGTCACCTGTTCCTGTGCTGTGGGCACGTGCCACCCTGTCCTGCCCTTGTGCCCTGGAGGCTGTGCTGGGTCCCCTACCTCCCCTGGCATGGCATGGGCCAAGCATGCTGTGGAGGAGGCAGCCAGGTGCTCTCCTCTCTGGGACCTATGGGAGTATGGCTCTGTGAGGGAAGGGAGAGGGTTCTGCAGCAGGTGTGGGGGCCTGGAAGATTCCCCCCACCCGATGGTCCCCAGCAGGGAGAATGAGGCATCTACTCCTCACACAGCTGTGGCGGGTCAAGTCCCTCTCTTGCGTCTCATCCCCGTGCCCCTGGCACCCCCTGCTGGCCATTCCTGGCATAGGTGTGGGGAAGTGGGGCAGGGTGGGGGGCGCTCTGGTTGGACACTGAGTTTGCTGAAAATCAAAGTGGGGCCCCAGGAATCAACTCTGACCCAAATGACAATGCCCACACACCATCCTCCCTACATGCATTTTTGCTGTTTGCCTTCCCACTGCTCAGTCCTGGGAGGTCAGCCACTATCCTCATGTTGTAAATGATGGGAGTGAGGCCAGTGGGTGGTGGAGCCACTGGGGGAACCTGGCGGCTGGAGCTCCCCTGGGGTCTCCTGCAGTCCACACTCCCACTGAGGGAGGCAGGGCCCCTTCCCTGAGGCTCCGAGAGGCCCTGGGGCCCTTCTGGTGGGTCAGGGTGGCCTGTGCTTGGCCTGATTGCTGCCCCGGGGCCTCCCCTGCTGTGCCTGGGATCGAGAGGCCAGATCCCCAGTGCTCCCCAGTGGCAGCATGGGGCAGTGGCCCCAACTTCATGGTGGGACCCCTCGTGGTGGCCGCCAGCTGTCTCCTCGCCACCTTGGCCAGGAGCAGGCACTTGGCAAGGGCTGGATGCCCTTTCCCAGTTGCCCTGACCCTGCCGCAGTGGGTGTGCATTAGCCCAGAGTGCTGGGCAGGAGGCCCAAGCGGGATGCCTGGACGCGGCAGCCCCTTCCCGGCCCCCTGGTGCCGCTGCCCCTCTCTGGCCCGCAGATGGCAGTGGCCCTCTCCTGCTTTGTGCTCCTCCATGGCTACCCAGTGCTCCAGGACCATGGGCACTCCAAGTGGCCCAAAATGTTCTTGGCAGCACGAGGACCCCCAGGGAGCAGAGACTCCTGGGGCATGAGGTCTGGTTTGCTGGGGGAACATAGGTCCATAAAGGCCGTGGGCACTGTTAGGGCCGGGATGGAGGAAGACCCACCAGAGAAGCTGAACAGAGTGGCTGGGATCAGGGCAGGGGCATCGTGGGGAGGGGCCTGCAGGCATTTGTCCTAGGGTCCCTCGTGTGGCCAGCTGGCCAGGTCCAGGGCAGGCTCAGTCAGGCTGTGCCCTGGGTTCGAGGCCCTGGTTGAGGCCTTGGTCACCACTGGTATCCCTGCGTGGGGTGAGGAAGCGGCTGCAGGTCACAGCTGGGGTGTGAAATGTGGAGCCCTGGTGATGAGGATGGTAACCCTCCGCTGAGCCCATGAGGAAACTGAGGCTCTGATGAGCAGGGCCTGGCCAGAAACTGGATGGAGCCTTGGGGCTTCCAGGCGTGCCAGGAAGGAGAGCTTTGGCGGCCAGGCCCCTCTACCCTCTGCTCACCATCAGGACGCTGAGTTGTGAGGCAGCCCTCGAGTGGGTGAAGGTCGTCATCCCTTCATCATCCTGGCAGCAAATCTGTCCAGCGGCGGCTGGCACACGGGGACCCTTCCGGCTCAGGCGTGACCTGAGCTCTCCAGAGTGGACCCGGGAGCTGGGTAGACACCGGACCCCCAGGTCCTCCCAGGCCAGGCCTTTCCCGGCACTGCGGCCCCTCCCGACCCGGGCCGGACTCGGCGGGCTTAGCACCCCCATGACTTACCCCGTCCAGGCCACGAGCCCCTGCCCTACCCTGATGCCCGCCCTCTGGTCTCCCCGCAGGCGGCTGGAAGCTGTGGTCCCTGTGGGGCGAATGCACGCGGGACTGCGGGGGAGGCCTCCAGACGCGGACGCGCACCTGCCTGCCCGCGCCGGGAGTGGAGGGCGGCGGCTGCGAGGGGGTGCTGGAGGAGGGTCGCCAGTGCAACCGCGAGGCCTGCGGCCGTGAGTGCGGGCGGGGCGGGGCGGAGCCAGAGCCCTGGAGAGGCGGGGCTTGTGAGGGAGGGGGAGGGGCGGGGCCCTGGAGAGGAGGGGCCCGTGGGGGCGGGGCCGGGCCTCGAGCACAAGGGGCTGGTGGGGGCAGGGAGGGGTAGGGCCCAGAGCAACAGGGCCGGTGGAGGGAGGGGCTTAGGGCGGGACCAGGTAGGGGCGGGGCCTGGGACTGGCAGGCGCTGGGCGGGGCCTGCAGGAAGAGTGGATAGGGTGAGTCTGGGCTCTGAGAAGCAGGACCTCAACTCGGGGCTGGCCCGTGGGAGTGGGGCCTAGCCGGGGGAGCAGAGGTGAGGGCCCCGAAGAGTGTGGTGCTTGGGGCTGGGTGGGACTAGATGGGGCTTTCTTTTTTTTGTTTTTTGGTGTTTTTTTTTTGAGAGGGAGTCTTGCTGTGTCACCCAGGCTGGAGTGCAGTGGTAAGATCTGGGCTCACTGCGAACTCTGCCTCCCGGGTTCACGCCATTCTCCTGCCTCAGCCTCCCGAGTAGCTGGGACTACAGGCGCCTGCCACCACGCCCGGCTAATTTTTTGTATTTTTAGTAGATGGTATCCATCTCCTGACCTCGTGATCCGCCTGTCTCGGACTCCCAAAGTGCTGGGATTACAGGCATGAGCCGCCGCACCCGGCCTAGATGGGGCTTTCTTCCCGTTTGTGGATTGGGGGTTTTGGAGGGTGTGCGGAAGGCTGGCTGTGGGAGCTCTGGCCAAGCCAGTCCTCCTGCCCCAGCCGGATGCTGCCTCCAGAATGTATTTCTCTAATAAGGCTCTCTAATGACCCCATGCATTTTTTAGCTGCTTCCATGAAGTTAAATCACGTTGTAATGAGACTGTCTTTGGGCTGTTTTTTCCTTGGTGAACTTTCCTGGGGAGAGGAGCTCCTCTCAGGAGCCTGGGGAGGGGCCTGGGGCGTCAGCTGGCCTGCGGGACCGGGGCAGGGGCGCTGTTGGGGTGCCAGGCAGGGGAAAGCAGCCACCACTTAGTGCGGGCTGCCGTCCTGCAGGCTGGCCTGTGGGCAATGAAGGCAATGAGGGAGTGGGCACAGGGTACGGGAGACGGGACCCACAGGAAGGGTCCCCTGTTGACCAGATGAGGGCTGGTGCCAGGCTGGGCGCTCTGGTCCCTGGCTTCCCAACTGTCCAGTGGAGCCAGGTGGCCCAGTGCTGGCGGGCTCAGAGCACTGTGGCCACAGAGAGAGAGGACGGGGGCAAAGCACTGCTCCCGTGCTGACCTGAGCCCGTCCTGCAGCCGCTGGGCGCACCAGCTCCCGGAGCCAGTCCCTGCGGTCCACAGATGCCCGGCGGCGTGAGGAGCTAGGGGACGAGCTGCAGCAGTTTGGGTTCCCAGCCCCCCAGACCGGTGAGCTGGCGGGAGGGGGGTGGGCAGGATTAGGGCTTTGGGAAATACTGTAAGTTAACAATCGCCACTAGTTATGGGTAGTAACTTGAATAACTAGACTAACCCGTCAGGTGCTGGGCTCTTGTCTCCTGACTGACTGGCATTAGGGGAACTGGTGTAAGGTGAGGAGACCTGTCCCTGGCCAGACCCCAGAGGCCCAGGGATGGCACAGGCCGGCTCTCAGGGCTTCCAGCCTTGTAGGGGAAATGACCAGTTCTTGAGATCAGCCTGGTTCGAAGGCCTGGGGGCTCTGCCCCAGCCCTGCTGCCTGCTCCCCAGCAGGGCGGCCCTCCTGCTGCGGGATCCGGCCCCGGTCTGACTGCAGCCCCGTGGGCGGCAGGCCTGTGACGCTGTAGTGGGGCCTGCAGGTGACCCAGCAGCCGAGGAGTGGTCCCCGTGGAGCGTGTGCTCCAGCACCTGCGGCGAGGGCTGGCAGACCCGCACGCGCTTCTGCGTGTCCTCCTCCTACAGCACGCAGTGCAGCGGACCCCTGCGTGAGCAGCGGCTGTGCAACAACTCCGCCGTGTGCCCAGGTGGGTGGGAACTTGGGCTTCGGCAGCGGGGGGCTGGGGCAGCGGGCAGCCGGGGCAGTGGGGGGCTGGGGCAGCAGGGGGCTGGGGCAGTGGGCGGCCAGGGCTTCAGCGACCGTGGCAGCAGAGGGCAGCAGCACCTTCCGTCCCTCTGCAGTGCATGGTGCCTGGGACGAGTGGTCACCCTGGAGCCTCTGCTCCAGCACCTGTGGCCGTGGCTTTCGGGATCGCACGCGCACCTGCAGGCCCCCCCAGTTTGGAGGCAACCCCTGTGAGGGCCCTGAGAAGCAAACCAAGTTTTGCAACATTGCCCTGTGCCCTGGTAGGTGAGAGGGAGGGCGTGGGGGCAGGGAGGAAGGGAAGAAAGGAGAGGTCACAGTAGGCCACTGGCCAGGCCTGGGAACCCAGTTTTGCCCACTCCAGACCCACCTCAGGGTGCTCAGAGGTCGGAACCTCAGACTGGGTTCAGGAAGCAGGCTGAGGTGTGATCTTGGGGCATTTCCCACCCATGTTCAGGCTGGGTGTGGGGTGGTGGCCCCCAGGGTGTTCTCACCCATGTCCCAGGCTGGGTGTGGGGTGGTGGCCCCTAGGGTGTTCTCACCCATGTCCCAGGCTGGGTGAGGGCTGCTGGCCCCCAGGGTGTTCACACCCATGTCACAGTCTGGGTGTGGGCTGGTGGCCCCCAAGGTGTTTACACCCATATCACAGGCTGGATATGGGGTGGTGGCCCCCGGGGTTTACTCTCTCGTGTCCCAGCCTGGATGTTCTCACCCATGTCACAGGCTGGATGTGGGGTGGTGGCCTCCAGGGTGTTCTCACCAATGTCACAGGCTGGGTGTGGGTAGTGGCCCCCAGGGTGTTCTCACCTATGTCCTAGGCTGAGTGTGAAGCAGTAGCCCCCCAGGGTACTCACACCCACATCCCAAGCCAGGCATTGGGGTGCCGGGTGTTCACGCCCACTTCGTGTCCCCTTCCTCCCCCGGGCCGGGCAGTGGATGGAAACTGGAACGAGTGGTCGAGCTGGAGCGCCTGCTCCGCCAGCTGCTCCCAGGGCCGACAGCAGCGCACGCGTGAATGCAACGGGCCTTCCTATGGGGGTGCCGAGTGCCAGGGTCACTGGGTTGAGACCCGAGACTGCTTCCTGCAGCAGTGCCCAGGTCAGGGGTGCGCCAGGCTGGGGTTGGGGGCACCTAACAAGCAGGAACCTCTAGGGAGGGGACAAGCCCCATGGCGGGTGGGGGTAACCATGGACCCTGGTATGTGACTGAGGAGGAAGCGGGGTGCACAGTGGGGTCTGCGGTGGCCATGGGGGAAACGGGGCGTGGAGTGGCTGCAGGGTGAGTGAGGTGCACTGTGAGGGGGGGCCATGAGGAGAGTGGGGCATGGGGTGGCCATGGGGAGAGGAGTGGGGTGCACAGTGGGACTTGGGGTGTCCATGGGGAGGTGGAGTGTGGAGTGACTGTGGGGTAGTTTACAGTGGGACTTGGGGTGTCTGTGGGAGAAGTGGAGTATGGGGTGACTGTGGGGTAGCGAGGTACACAGTAGGATTTGGGGTGTCCATGGGGAAGTGGAGTGTGGAGTGACCATGGAGTAGCGGGGTGCACAGTGGGACTTGGGTGTCTGTGGGGGAAGTAGAGAGGTGCACAGTGGGACTTGGGTGTCTGTGGGGGAAGTAGAGGTGGTGGCTTGAGGTAGCGGGTGCACAGGACTTGGGGTGTCTGTGGGGGAAGTGGAGTGTGGAGGACTGTGGTGAAGCGGGTGCACAGTGGGACTTGGGTGTCTGTGGGGGAAGTAGAGAGGTGGGGGTGGCCGTGAGGTAGCGGGTACAGTGGGACTTGGGTGTGTCTGTGGGGGAAGTAGAGGTGTGGGGTGGCCGAGGTAGCGGTGCACAGTGGGACTTGGGGTGTCTGTGGGGAAGTGGGAGTGTGGAGGACCGTGGGGTAGCGGGGTGCACAGTGGGACTTGGGTGTCTGTGGGGGAAGTAGAGTGTGGGGTGGCTGTGGGGTAGCGGGGTGTACAGTGGGACTTGGGGTGTCCATGGCGAAGAGGAGTGTGGGGTGGCCGTGGGGTAGCGGGGTGCACAGTGAGGCGTGGAGGGTGGTGGGGTTGGCTAAGCATGTGGGAGTTTGTTTTATTTTCTATCAGGCTGATGACTGGTTTCTCCTCTCCTGGTCTGAATTTCCCTTCTCCTGACCTCCTGCCCCACATCCCTGGGTCCCTGTGTTTCACTGCTGCACGGCTCTGTGCGCGTCCCTGTCTGTGTCCTCGTGTCACTGTGGCTCTTGGACCCCGCCCTCCTTGTCGCCTGTGCCCTGTGTCTGGCTGTGCCTGCAGTGGATGGCAAGTGGCAGGCCTGGGCGTCATGGGGCAGTTGCAGCGTCACGTGTGGAGCTGGCAGCCAGCGACGGGAGCGCGTCTGCTCCGGGCCCTTCTTCGGGGGAGCAGTCTGCCAGGGCCCCCAGGATGAGTACCGGCAGTGCGGCACCCAGCGGTGTCCTGGTGAGGCCCCTCCCACCTGGGCTGGGCGGTGGGGAGGGCTGGTGGCAATCAGGCAGGCTCGGGCTCAGCTGTCACCCACGTGGTGTGTTGGGGGCTCCCATCCTGTCCTCATAGTGATGCGCGCTCCAGGCGCCTTGCAAGGGTCTGGGCCTTCCAGAGCCAGCTGCCGGCTCTCAGTACCCCTTCCTGAACCCCTGTCCTGGGCTCCTTGGCAGAGCCCCATGAGATCTGTGATGAGGACAACTTTGGTGCTGTGATCTGGAAGGAGACCCCAGCGGGAGAGGTGGCTGCCGTCAGGTGTCCCCGCAACGCCACAGGTGAGCGCTGGAGAGCACGTGGTGTATGGAGGCTCCCATCCTGCCCTCATGGTGATGCCCACCCTGAGGTGCTGTCAGCACTGGGACACGGCCCAGGCACGGAGCCCAGACAGCCTGCGTGCGCTGGTGCGGGGTGGTGGGGCCGCAAGCCCAGGGCACCGTGTGAGAACTCTGTGGCAGCCGCTGTTCTGAGCACTCGCTAGGGGCTGGCACCCATGCTCCGCCCTAATGCAAGACATCCGTGGAGTCTCAGCAACCCAAGAAGCCGCCACCATTTACAGTTGGGAAACTGAGGCACAGGGAAGTGAATGCACTTGCCCTGGGCTTGCAGGGACAGGAAGAGGAGGTCTCCGTTGAATGCCAGCCTCAAGGAGAAAGCAGGGCTCCGTGGGGAAGGGCTCACTGCACTAGGGGTGGGCCTCCTTCGCCCCTCCTTTTTGAAGAAGTACAAGTGCTTTATGTCCCTGACAGGCAGCAGGCAGGGAGGATGGGAGCCCAGGTTCAAACTCTGGTTCTGCCCTTGTTTGCTGTGTGACATTCAGAAACTGACTTAACCTCCCTGAGCCTCAGTGTTCTCCTCTGTAGGATGAGAGCAGTCGGGGTTCCTCTGCTCGGAGCTGCTGTGGGGAGGTGTGGGGGACGGCGGCGGGGGCCCTGTATTGCCAGCTGCAGCTGCTGCTCCTCCCTCGCTCTTCTGATTACAGAACAGAGCATGTTCTTGGTAGCAGATTGCAAATGCTGAGAAGCAAAATGAAGCACGTGAATGCCGCACGGTGGCGTGCCTCCCCTGGCCTTTGGTCCACGTGCATGGCTGGGTCTCCCGGTGCCCCTCATTTTTGGCCCCATCTAAACCAGGTTCTGCATCCTGTCCCGCGGCTCTTGTCGGGGGTTGAACTTGTCTTGTGACAGTTCTCTGTGGCTGCCGCCACCTTATAAACACTCAGCTGTCCCTGTTTCTCTGATGATGTCCTGGGAGTGAGCTCTGTATCACAGGGTGTGCCATGTTTAAAGCTGTTTTCCCCTTAATGCCCAGCAGCACCCCAAGGTTGCCCCTGTGTCTCCGGGCCAGGCTGAGGCCCCTGTAGCCCGGTGGATGCAGCCAGGCAGGGGCCCAGGGTGCTGGCTCCCTCCAGGGCTCTGGGTTAGTTAGAAGGGGCTCCGAATGAGCTCATGGTTGAACTCTGAAGCCCCTGCTCAGCCGAGAGCTCCACTTCCATGCAGCGGGGTTCCTGAAGGCTTAGCTCTTGCTGGGTCCTGAGTCGTTGGGGCAGGTAGCAGCTCGAAATGTGTTGAAGGGAATGAGGTCCCTGTGTGGACTCAGCTCTCCGCGTGAGGCCATGGGCAAGTCCCTGTTTCTGGGGCCCACAGGGTCCCATCCAGAGGGTCTGCTGCCAGGGGCCGAGGGTGGAATTCCTGGGCCCGGCAATGGGTATCCACCTGAGAAGGGGGAGGTCTCCCTAGGACTCATCCTGCGACGGTGTGAGCTGGACGAGGAAGGCATCGCCTACTGGGAGCCCCCCACCTATATCCGTTGTGTTTCCATTGACTACAGAAACATCCAGATGATGGTGAGTGCCAGTTCCTGGGGGTCCCCAACCCCTCCCCAACCACCCCGGCCACACAGGTTGGGATCCTGCAGAGGGTCCTAGGCGTGGGAGGTCCTGGGTGGCTGCCTGGATGTGTCCCACAGAGGTGAAGGCACCCGCCCTCTCCGTCTTCCGCAGACCCGGGAGCACCTGGCCAAGGCTCAGCGAGGGCTGCCGGGGGAGGGGGTCTCAGAGGTCATCCAGACACTGGTGGAGATCTCTCAGGACGGGACTAGCTACAGCGGGGACCTGCTGTCCACCATCGATGTCCTGAGGAACATGACAGAGATTTTCCGAAGGGCGTACTACAGCCCCACCCCTGGGGATGTACAGGTGGGCTCCCCAAGGGAGATTTTGCAAGAGGGTGTCAGGAAGGTGTCTGGGGAGCCCTCCTGGACCTTAGAGATGGATCCTCAACCCTGACCACAGCCCGGGCCCTAACCCATGTCATAGGTCGAACTCTGACCTTTGTCACTCATCTAATCTTGGTTACACATTGAGCCCTGACCCTGGTCACACACTGATCCCTGACCCTGGTCACACTGAGCCCTGATCCTGGTCACACACTGAGCCTGGGCACTGGTCACATACTGAACCCTAACCCTGGTCACATGCTGAACCCTGACCCTGGTCATACACTGAGCCTCAATCCTGGTTATACATTGAACCCTGGCCCTGGTCACAGTGAGCTCCAACCCTGGTCACACTCTGAGCCCTGATCCTGGTCCCATATTGAACCCTGACCCTGGTCACACACTGAGTCCTGACCCTGGTCACAGTGAACGGTGATTTTGTGCCCTGTTCTCTGTCACTGGCCCTTCTTCTTCTTTCCAGAACTTTGTCCAGATCCTTAGCAACCTGCTGGCAGAGGAGAATCGGGACAAGTGGGAGGAGGCCCAACTGGTAGGGCCTGGGGCCCCCACAGTCAGCAGCCTCAGGAGGGGTGCAGGCACAGCTGGTGCCTCCCTGGTCTCCAGCTGGCCTGGGGTGGGGTCCCGCTGGGCGCTCTGGGGTGGGATCCCAGGCTGGCCTCTTGTTGGTATTGGTGGCACTGAGGAAGCTCAGCATTCCCAGCCTGTTTCCTCCTTTGTCTAAGGATAGTCATTTATTTCATGGGGCTCAGTGAGGAGGTTCAGGAGAACACTGAGCACATGGGAACCCCGAGGCGGCTGGGACAGAGAGCCCTCCTCAAGGGGGGCAGTGGCAGTGCTCATTCCCCCAAGCTGACCTCCAGCAGCCGCCACTCCTGGCCCTGGGTGGCACCTGGCATGGGGGCTGTGGGTATCCAGAGACTCTCCCCTAGCCTGGGCTTCCCATGAGTGGGGCACAGCAGCCCCTCTGGGCATCTGCGTTCTCATCCCCAAAGTGGAGTACTCAGAGATCACCAGCCCCACTTCCTCGAAATGTTAGGAAATGGCCAATAAGAAAAGGAGGGACAGGGAAGGGAAGGAGGCAGGGGCTGAGGTATGGCGGGGCCTCCTCCCTGGGCTGCTCACCCCCCTGCCCCCCAGGCGGGCCCCAACGCCAAGGAGCTGTTCCGGCTGGTGGAGGACTTTGTGGACGTCATCGGCTTTCGTATGAAGGACCTGAGGGATGCATACCAGGTGACAGACAACCTGGGTAAGCCTGCTCGCCTGTTGCCACCCCCACGCCTTGCTCTGCAGCCCTGGGCCTCAGCGTCCTCGTCTGTATAAAGAGGCAGTGACCAGACAGCCTCTGTGGGCTCTCCCAGCCGATTTCTCAGATGGGTCCTGTTTTCAGTCTCCAGAGGGTTGATGATGTGACCTGGGAGGGGATCAGACACAGCCCAGGGGCTGCGGACCAGGGAGCACCATTCCCCCAGCCAGCACCTCACATGTACCCACCGGGAGCCGGGGCTCATTCTGCCTGTCACCCCTGGTGTCCTCCCTGTGGAGCTTCAGAGGCAGGGTCTGTGCAGCCCACACCTTCCCGCTTGTCAGTCCCAGCAGTGCCTTCCCAGAGGGGCCGGGACCCCACCCAGCTCCGCGGTTTCCTCGTTTCTAAAATGCGATGATAACAGTGCCCACCTCACGGGGAGGTAGAGACTGATGAGGCGAGTGAGTGCCTGAACCCCGGGGTAAAAGGTGACTGTCATTACAAACACTCATAGCAATTCTGTTTAGTGACGGTTATACAGTGCCCTCAGATACCTCTCAAAAGCCACATTTCCCAAACTTTCCCTGCCTTGGTCAGAGAGTCTCTCAAAGCAAAGGACCCAGGAGTGGATGCTGGCCCCAGCTATGATCCACAGAGCCCCAAGGAGGAACAGTGTCACCTCCCCTGTGGGGATGCTTAACCTCTAGTGATATGACCAGGATCAGCTGAACTTTGCCAGCACACACACCCTGGAGCGTTGCCCAGTGCCTACACTGGTGCCCAGGACATAACTGGTGGCCAGCTCCCAGGGTGCTCGGCACGGCCCATGGTCCCTGGAATGGCCAGCACATACTTCGAACCCCGAGCACTGTGGTTACCCCACGTGCTTCATAACCGTGTCTCAGTCCGTTTCCTGTTGCTGTCACTGAAGGGGTAATCTATAAAGATGAGAGGTTGTGGAGGCCGGAAAGTCCAAGATCACAGCTCCAGCTGTGAGTGAGTGCCCTCCTGCTGCAGCACAGCATGGCAGAGGCAGCCCATGAGAGACGGAGCAAGAATGCCTGCTGAGGTCTTCCTTCCCATAATGCCACTAAAGCCATCATGGGGTCCACCCTCATGACCTCCCAAAGGCCCCACCCCCAAGTACCATTAGCAGATGAAAGTGGGGATTCAGGCCGGGCGCGGTGGCTCAAGCCTGTAATCCCAGCACTTTGGGAGGCCGAGACAGGTGGATCACGAGGTTAGGAGATCGAGACCATCCTGGCTAACATGGTGAAACCCTGTCTCTACTAAAAATACAAAAAACTAGCCGGGCGAGTTGGCGGGCGCCTGTAGTCCCAGCTACTTGGGAGGCTGAGACAGGAGAATGGCGTGAACCCGGGAGGCGGAGCTTGCAGTGTGCTGAGATCTGGCCACTGCACTCCAGCCTGGGCGACAGAGCGAGACTCCGTCTCAAAGAAAAAAAAAAAAAAGAAATTGAGAATTCAGTTTCCAACATGTAAGCGTTTACAGGACACATTCAAGCTATAGCACAACGCAGACGCCCTGTGCATCCCATACGCTCCACTAACCATGCTCAGCCTCACTCACTCCCAGGACCTTGCTTCTCTGCCCAGGCCCCCACCCCTACATCCCTCCCTCACTCAGCTGCCAAGAACTGGACGCCAGCGACAGCGGCTTCCCATGGCGTCTGTTTATGCATACCAGGTGAAAGGAATAATCCCTCCCGACCGTCAGAGCTGTAGGCCACAATGACACAAGCTGCACGTAGACAGACTACGAAGGCTTGAACTCTGATCCTTGCAGCCAGCCTTAAACCCAGAGACCTGCCATGACCGGGTTGATGACCCAGTGGTTTCACCAATAGAAATGTTCATTTCAATATTCATCTCGTCAGAAGGTGCTTGGCACTCCTGAGGTGTCCCATCCCCAGCCTAAAACAGCCCGAGGACGTTTAAATTAAGCAACCCTAACTTCCATGCGACCAGGCCTGTACTGCAGGCAGCTCTCAGACATGTCTGGTGGAAACCATAGCTTCATGCCTATTGTACTCGAACAAGCCCCACTAAAACATGCCCAAGACGGATCGACATTATTATAGTGTCTTTGGGAGGCTAACTAGCATTAACCTTTTAAATTAAAGACAGGTTAGGCGCAGTGGCTCATGCCTGTAATCCCAGCTATTTAGGAGGCCAAGGCAAGAGGATCGCTTGAGCCCAGGAGTTTGAGACTAGCCTGGGCAGCACAGTGAAACCCTGTCTCTACAAATTTTTTTGAGAAATTAGCCAGTCATGGTGGTGCGCCTGTAGTCCCTGCTACTAGGGAGGCTGAGGTGGGAGGATGGCTTGAACCCAGGAGGTGAGGCTGCAATGAGTTGTGATCACACCACTGCGCTTCAGCCTGAGCAATGGGCTGTCTCGTTAAGAAACAAACAAAGACAAAGTTCTGCTTTTTCCATAGTGAAATGCTTCAACTAGAAACATCAACATGACTGATTGCTACTATTTCAGTAATTCTGCCACTTTTCATCCTGTTCTAATGAAAGATTTAAAAGCTTGCCCCTTACCCAGGCACACCTGCCACAGCCCACCCTGGTGCCCACGCCAGCCCTCCACCGCCCCTCGATGATCCTGTGTCCAGCCTCCCACCCCTTCACCTGCTCCAGGGCGCTGCTTCAGCATCAGTCTGCCCCCATCCCCCACTGCGGCTTCCCAGCAGCTCCTTGTGCAGGCCACTTGTCCTTTGCATATTTCCTCTTGTCCTCAACCCCGGTTCTCTGCTGGTCCCTCCTGCCCCTCCTCTCACTGGGTGCCCACCCAGTCCGAATTCCCTCTGCCCTCCATTCGGGCTGCCAGTGACATCCATGGTGCAAAACCCTATTCTTGGGCCTCCATGCCCCCAACTGCGTTTGGCGCTACTGATGCTCATGCCGTCTCCTCCTCTCCCTGCCCCATCTTGGGCTGCATTCTTGAGGCTCCACTGGGGCCTGCTAGGGCTGAGGCCACGGCCCCAGGGCCAGGTTCCCCTAGAGCGGTGGGTCCCTGTCAGCACCTGCTTCCACCCCAGCAGCACTTCCCCAAACTCTCTTCCCGTTCAGTTGCCCCAAACCTGCTGCCTTGTCCTCATGCCCCTCCACCTTGAGCTCAGGGCCTTTCTGCACCCCCAATGCCTTCCTTTGCAGAATGGGAGGGAACACTGGGTCCCCTCTTTCACCATGGCCCATGCTGCCCTTTGCTGCCTGAGCCCTGAGGCAGGGAAGCCCCCATCCCCCTTCCACAGAGGGAGGGGAGGCAGGATCAGCTCACAGAGCTGGAGGGAAACTGGGCTCCCCTGTCCCAGGAGGGAGTGGGGGTCGCTGAGGGGGTGCCTGGTCCCTGCAGATCCCTCCATGGCCACAGGACAGACCCCAGAATCTGCCTTTGACAACCTTCTGGGCCATGGAGGGTGGGAGGGGCAGGCCCCACGCCCCTCACCAAGGCTCCAACTCAGCAGGACCAGACCTGGCCCAGCCTCTGCCTGGTGCTCCTTGCTGTCCCTGCTCCTGGACCTCACCGAGGTCTGGGGACAAGGCCCACCCAGGGAGTGTGGAGCCTGCACAGGGCCCAGGATGCAGGGAGTTGGGGTCTGCCTCTGAGCCATGGGCTCCCCGCGGCATCACCCTGCACTGCCAGGCCTGCGCCTCAACTCCTGCAGCTGAGGCCCCACCGCATCTGTGACTTTCCCTTCTCTCTATCTCTCGCCCCTTTGACCCTGCTCCCAGTCCTCAGCATCCATAAGCTCCCAGCCAGCGGAGCCACTGACATCAGCTTCCCCATGAAGGGCTGGCGGGCCACGGGTGACTGGGCCAAGGTGCCGGAGGACAGGGTCACTGTGTCCAAGAGTGTCTTCTCCACCGGGCTGGCAGGTGAGGGGCTCAGGGAGCCGGGGGACCTTCATGGGGAACGTGGGCCCCAGAGACGGGTGGTCACCACCCCTCTGGAGTCTAGCTGCTACCTCAGAGTTGGGCAGTTCTCAAGGGGCTCCCCGTTTCCAGGAAGCCCTCCTTGCCCTCTCTGGGGCCAGGGCCTGTGGATTAACCCTGAGGCCCAGGCAGAGGGGTCAGGATGAGCCACCTCACTTCAGGGAGGGACAGGGAGTCACATGTCAAGGACCCTGTTACACGTCCTGCCTGCCCACAGCTCTCAGGATGCCCCAGGGAATGGCCCGGTCTCCCTCTTCCCACTTGGCTGTTGCCCCAGCTCCCCGGCTGCAGCACTGTGTCCGTGGGTGGGTGGGCCTCACCATCCACCAGGGCCCTGGACGTGACCTTGAAGATGGGCGGCAGAGGCCAGCAACAGCGGGGTCCAGGTCAGGCTGCCAAGTCCCGCCCTGGCTGTGGGGACAGGGGCTGGGGTTGACAGTGCACTTTCTTCCAGAGGCCGACGAAGCGTCTGTGTTTGTGGTGGGCACCGTGCTCTACCGGAACCTGGGCAGCTTCCTGGCCCTGCAGAGGTGGGCAGCGCAGGGCAGGTGGGGTGGGCAGGACCCCAGCCACAGGAGGTAAAGGGGGAGGCCAGGGGGCCTGGAGGTGTGGATGATGGGCTGGGGGTGGAGGGTGGCGAGAGGTGCAGGGGCCCTCAGGGAGAGCCTGGGCTGGGAGGGCTCCCCCAACACCTGTGCCTCTGTCTCTTGCAGGAACACGACCGTCCTGAATTCCAAGGTGATCTCCGTGACTGTGAAGCCCCCGCCTCGCTCCCTTCGCACACCCTTGGAGATCGAGTTTGCCCACATGTATAATGTGAGTGCCATCCGCACGCACGCTCTGATGCCTGCAGAAACGCACGTGCGTGAATTCTGTCCCACTCCTCAGCCAGTAAGCCTTTGAGGCCTCCTCACAACAGCTCTAACCTGCGAGAGCTGCTTTTCTCCCTGGATTATAGGTGGGGAAACAGACTCAGAGAGGTGCGGTGACTTGCCCAGGGTCACACAGCAGGTGAGGTACTGAAACTCCATCTGTGCCTGACTCCCCACCTGGGCTCCAACCACTCTGCCCTCCAGCCACCATTGGCCTGGTTGTTCCCCTTCTGAGAAGTGGAGCCTGTCCCATGACTCCTGGCCCCCAGATGCCCGGCCACGGAGAAGCTGGGGGTGTAAGTACACCTCTGCCAGCACTGCCAGGGCTGACGCCAGGCCTCGCCTCAGGGTCCCTGGGATTTCAGCACAGGAGCATCCTCCCAGCACTCCCCGGCGGGAAGCCCCGGCCTCAGGCCACAGCTGCTATGTGACCCCAGCCAGGTCCCAACCCTGCTGCTTGGAGCTCCATAGAGCTCTTTGTTGGGCCTCAGAGGAGTAGGGGCTGAGATGCCTTTCTGATGGGCTGAGAACCAGGGCCCCCAGGGAACACGTTGCCTGGGTTACCGTACCAGGACTGAGCAGTGCCAGGCCTCCAGCCCAGGCCAGGGCTGTAGGAAGCCACAGGAGAACCCAGCCCTGTCCTTTCTAGCTGTGTGACCTTGGGAGAGTTGTTCAACCTCTCTGTGCCATGGTTCCCTCCCTTATCAAGTGGGAACGATGGGGCTGGGTGATGACTGAGTCTCACAGCTGCTCAGAGCAGGCCGCGCCCTAGATCCAGCCTCAGGAACGCTGACCCTCCCTGCTGTTGCAGCCCCATTTTGGCAGTGCTAGTGTGTGGCAGGCCTGGCAAGGCTGTGTCCCAGGAAGGCTAGTAAGACGTGAGAGCAGTGCAGGGCGCTTACAGAGGCCACTGTGTGCCCGGTGACCCCTGCTCACTAGGCCCCGGAAGAAGGGTCTTCCCATCACGCTACTTCATACCAGAGACGGATTTCAGCCATTGCTGCCCAGCCCGGCCACTGGACCTGGGCTCTGGGAGACTTGTGCCAAGCCCAGGTGACCTTGGGCCACTGCTGTCTCCACCCTGGACTCAGTTATCTCCTCACAAAACGCAGTCTGTTAAGGACCCGCACAGGCAGCATGCCTGACAGCACACCTGTAGGTGGTTCCCATGGTGACCCGAGGGTGGGGGCTGGTCCTGGCCGCCAGGGGCCCTGACTCTTCTCTCCTCTTTCCCAGGGCACCACCAACCAGACCTGTATCCTGTGGGATGAGACGGATATGTAAGTTCACTTGGATTTCATGGCCTTGACGGTATGGGGTGGGGTTCGTGGGAGGTTGACTCAGTAGGGGAGGGGTGCAGGTTTTAGGTCTCGGCCGCTGGCCCCCCAGCTGTCTGTGTACCCACATGGGCCTCCCTGTCACCACCTGTCACTCACTGTCTGGCTCTGGAGCCCACCAGGCTGCCTCCCACCCCCTCCCAGGGACGTCCACAGTTCAGGGAGGAGCGGACATGGAGGTCCAACCCCAGGCCAGGTGATGGGCAGGTGTCCTGGCCTGTCCCCCACCCCCACTGCTAGCCCCATGCCCAGAGCAGGTGGAATCCTGGCATTCAGGTCTGCAAGTGGGTGCCAGGCGCTGAGGGGCTGCGGAAGCTGCCATGGCAGACCAGGGCGTCAGGAGGTGGAACGGGAACTTCAGGCTCATCAGATGGGGGCATGGGCCCCTGGGGTCTTCAGTGGCCATGTGTCCTGTGCAGTTGCGGGCCAAGCACTTGTTGGGCGCCAGCTGGCCCAGGCACTGCGGCACAGCTGGAGCAAGTTCCATGCCCTATGTGGGGTTCCGCGAGGAGCAGTCGGGCTGTGGGGTGCCATCTCGAGGCCCTGGTGGGTGTGCCAGAGTGGAGCCATCTTCCCAGACAGCAAGGCGAGGGCAGCGAAGAGAACCTTGCCCAGTCAGAGGAAGAGTCTGTGTAAAGGCCCGAAGTGCCAGCGCCCAGGGCTGAGCTAGGCCATGACGTGGGGAGATGGATAGAGCGATGGCGGCCGGGTCCCGACTTGTGGCTCCAGCCTGAGGGGTCTGCAGTGTGTGGTCAGGGACCTGGGTGTGTGCGCCCTGCCACCCGCCTCCTCCTAGGGTGTTCCTCTGGTTCCCTCAGCCCCAGTCCCTCCTGGCTGCTCTGACATCACCAGCCTCAAGGCTCCCTGCACCCCTTTCCCAGGCTGAGTGTGTGGTCTGCATGGCCACCTGGGCGCCAGTGGCACATGTGATGGTCCCTTGCGTGGTGCGTAGTGCAGGGACAAGTATGTGTCCTGAGAGGCAAGGGAAGGCTCCATGAGTGGCAGGCGTTGGAGGACAAGGCTGCCTGGCAGGGAGAGGGGGGCAGGCAGCTCAGGAGGAGACAGCTGGAGCAAGGGCAGGGAGGCTGAGGGTATGAGGAGCAGGGAGCCGGCCAGGAGGAGCAGGCAGAGGCAGGCAGGGGCTCAGGGGAGGCCGCGGCAGGGTGAGGACAGTTAGTGGGGGCTGGGTGTCATGATTCTCCGCGTACCCACCACCCATCCACCCACTCCTCTGTCCACCTGTTCTTTAATCTATACCCACTGCCACCACCCTCCACCCACCACCCATCCACCCTCTCCTCCGTCCACCTGTTCTTTAATCTATACCCACTGCCACCACCCTCCACCCACCAACCATCCACCCTCTCCTCCGTCCACCTGTTCTTTAATCTATACCCACTGCCACCACCCTCCACCCACCACCCATCCACCCGTTCCTCCATCTGCCTGTTCTTGAATCCATCCACCCATCACCCACTGCCACCACCCTCCTCCGGCAGTCACTGCCCTCTGATGGGCACTGACTAGCAGGCCCCAGCCCTCAGTCTCCTCTCCCCAGTGAGGAGGGATGGGGAACAGGGACAGACGGAGCAGTGCGGTGATGCCCGGCTGTGCACGGGCCAGGAAGGGAAGCTAGCAGGGGCTGGATGCAGGCGGGGAGTGGCCTTTGCAAGCAGGGTCATGCACGCCTCCGACGGGAGGGGAGGTTTCAGCAGAGGCCTGGCAAGCATGGCTCTGCACGTGAATGTCTGGGGATGAGCGTCGCAGGGGAAGGAGCAGCCAGGGCAAAGGCCTCAAGGTGGGATTGGCAGGTCACGCCAGGCTCCTGCCTTCTCTGCACCCCACACGGTGGACTCTGCTGTCCTTCCTGCCCTGGGTCTGGGGTTGGCAGCCGGGCTGGGGAGGGCTGGGTGCCTTGCAGCCCTGGGGAGCCAGCTCTCTAGCTCTTGTAAGGGTGGAAAAATAAAATGCAAGAGAAAAGCTCCCCTGCTTGCATTATCCGGGCCAACCCCAGGGCTTCGCATTTTCAGGGGGTGGCAGTGCGGGGGCTGCAGGTGGGTCTCTCACCCCCGCAGCCACTTCCACCAGTACAGCCCCTTCCCACGGTGCAGAAACCCTCCCTCCGGGCCGTTCGCTGGATGCTGCAGCTCTCGGGGGGCAGCACCCTGGTTCACTCACCCAACCAGCCCCTGCTGGTGGCCTTCAGGAGCCTTCCCTCTCCACCAACATAAATGCCAGCGTGACCAGCGTCCTTGCGAGGACACCTCCACCCGCACTTCTGATTGCTCCCTGGCGATCAGTCCCCAGGCAGTCTTACCAGATGGAGGTTGTGGGCCCCTGGGGGGCCTGCATAGTAAATTGCTTTTTAGAAAGGAAAGCATCCCCTTTGTCCTCCAGGGCAGCAGGCTGTGAGGGGACTGTCCAGTGAGCCGGGACAAGGACCTGGCCCAAGGACCCAGACTGTGGCGGAAGAGGACATGCTGTGTGGCCTTGGGCAGAGCCTGCACCCTGGAAGCCTTGGCTTCCTGACCCTGTGGCCAGCGTCTGCCTGCTTTTAGGCAGGGGCGGGGACAGCAGGACTGCGGTCCAGGCCTCAGTGTGTTTGGCGTCCGCGTGGCTTCAGTCGACCCTAAAAGTCACAGGTGTGGGGAAGGCCCAGGACCTGCCAGTCATACCAGGTGCTCCCCCCACCCCATCACTGGCTGGATGCGCTGAGTGCTAAGGTCTTGGTGCCTGGGTCCAGGGCTTCAGGACAGGAGGACAGGAGGCAGGTGCCAGTGTGGCCCAAGCAGTGCCTGGCAGCACTGTGCCCAGGTTGCCTCTTGGGTCCTTGACCCTGCCCGGGAGCCAGGCCATGCTGCACACCTGCTGTCTGTGGGGTGTTGAGGCCGTGAGACTCCTGCAGTCCCGCTGAAAGCACTGGAACTGGGCAGCCTGGAGCCCTAGAGGGCGGGCCGAGGCTGGTGAGGAGGGACTGAGGCTGATCTCGGTCCCCTTCCTTCAGCCCCTCGCCTCCCCTCCGCTCTGAGTTGGATGGCACCTCCCTTGACTACTGCAGGGGCCACTCTTCACCCTGTGAACTATCTCAGGGGAGCTGAGTTTCCCAGTTGACCTGAAGTGGAGACCATGGGCAGGGGCCCAGGGGACTGGGTCCAAGCTGGTGTGGGCCTGTGTCGGTTGTGCACTTGGATGAGAAAGAGTCTCATGCATCTGGGGAGGGGTTCCGTGTGTGGGCAGTGCAGTGGTTTGTAGCGGCAGGGGAGTGAGAGCCATCAGTCACCATCAGCTGAGAAGTAGTGAACTCTTAGAGCCATAATCATTATTCATAACTGAACTAGTCACAGATAGAGCCCAGATCCCAAACTCAGACTGTTTTTACCCTGTTCACACACTGAGTTCTGATGCTACTCACTCACTGAGCCCTGATCCTGTTCACAGGCTGAGCCCTAATTCTAGTCACATACTAAGCCTTGATCCTGATCATAGGTGGAGCCCTGATCCTAGTCTCATACTAAGCCCTGATCCTGGTCACAGGCTGAGCCCTGGTCCAGTTCATATACTGAGCTCAAATCTTAGCCACACATAGTCCTGACCTTGGTCATACACTGGGCCCTGATCCTGGTCACAGGCTGAGTCCTGCTGTGGTGTCTTAGCTGAAATGACTTGTGTGTGTCACGTGCTTGTAGGGCCACCTCCTCTTCCAGCCACATACAGCAGTTGACCATGTGACCGGCGCAGCCTAGAAAGACTTACAGGCTTCCACTGCAGTGCAGATCACCTGCCTGCCTTACCCCGGGTGTGCAGACACACTTGCACCCATGGGTTCAACACTCAAGCCCATGGTGTCTGCTCATGCTCTAAACCCTGAGCCCTAAGAGTACCTGGTGTCCCTGCACCCCAGCATCCAGATAGTAACCAAACCCCACCCTCCCAGGCCCTAACATCCTGGATCATCTGGTCCCAAACACTGGCCTGGCAGCCTGGCTCGAGTGCTCCTGTTCCCCCACACTCCTGCACCAGCCTGGCTTGTGGTGGTGAGGGCCTGGGGACTGGGGGTGCTACGGAGGAAAATGGGGAGCAGAGCGGGTGGGAGCTTTGGGAGTTCCCAAATGTTCCAAGCCATAGACACTGCCTCTACTGTAGCCCGTCCCTATATAGTTCCTTGACCACATGTGTCTCTACTGGTGTGGGGTGGGGGGGACAGTGGCAGTTATGTCATAGTCATGTCTGTATCCCTAGGATTGAGCGCTGACCCAGTGAGAATCAACGGTGGTTTATGAGCAAGGCAGTGATTACGTGGCTGAGTGCAAAAATGGATGTGCGAGGGGGTTCTTGGTAGGCAGTGTGGACAAGCGGGGGTGTGGATAATCTGTGGGAGCCGGCTGTTTGCCAGAGAGATGCACCCAGGGTGCAGCTGTGGGTTGCTGGGGGATGGGGAGGCAGCGGAAGAACAGTCGCATGGCTGGGTGAGTGACCAGTGATGGATGGCATGTGAAAGGGTGGGTGGGTGGACTGTGGATGACAGCATGCATGGAAGGCTAGAGATAGGGGTGGATGGATGGGACTGAGAGAAGGAAAGAAGATGGAAGGTGGCTGGAGGGATAGAGAATCAGTTTCCTAGGGCTGCCCTAACAACCTGCCAAAATTACCACCAACTGGGTGGTTTAAAACAGATATCTATTATCTCCCAGTTCTGATGGCCAGAATTTTGAAATCAAAGTGTTAGTAGGGCCATGCTCCTTCCAAAGGCTCTAGGAAAGATTCCTTCCTTGCCTCTTCCAGCTTCTGGTGGCTCTAGGAAATCCTTGGTGTTCCTTGGCTTGAGGTGGCGTCACTCCAGTCTCTGCTGTTATCTTTTCCTGGCCTTCTGCCTTGTGTATCTCTGTACTTTCCTCTTCTTGTAAGGACCCAGTCATGGATCTATGCCCCCCAAACCCAGTGTGGTATCAGTGAAGATCCCTAATTCAATTACATCTACAGAAGCCATGTTTCCAAATAAAATCATATTTGTAGGTTCTGGGGGTTAGACTTGGACATATATTGGGGAGAAGTGGGTGATGGATGGATCAGTAGATGGATGGGTACAATAATGCCTGAGTGGGTGAGTGGGTGGATGGATGTGTAAATGGTAGATGGGTGGATGAGTGAATAGGCGAATGGGTGGGTGGGTGGGTGTGTGAATGACTGGATGTGTGGATGGAGGGATGGAGGGATGGATGGAGGGATGGATGGATGGATGGACAGATGGTGGATGGGTGGATGGGTGAATAGGTGAGTGGGTGGATGGGTACATGAATGACTGGATGTGTGGATGGAGGGATGGAGGGATGGATGGAGGGATGGATGGATGGATGGACAGATGGTGGATGGGTGGATGAGTGAATAGGTGAATGGGTGGGTGGGTGGGTGTGTGAATGACTGGATGTGTGGATGGAGGGATGGATGGAGGGATGGATGGATGGATGGATGGATGGATGGACAGATGGTGGATGGGTGGATGGGTGAATAGGTGTGTGGGTGGGTGGGTGGATGGGTACATGAATGACTGGATGTGTGGATGGAGGGATGGATAGATGGATGAGTGGCTGGTTGGATGTATAGATGGTAGATGGGTGGATGGGTGAGTAGATGGGTGGGTGGATAGGTGTGTGGGTGACTGGATGTGTGGATGGAGGTATGGATGGGTGGGTGGCTGGCTGGATGTGTAGATGGATAGATGGGTGAATGGGTGGATAGGTGTGTGGGTGACTAGATGTGTGGATAGAGGTATGGGTGGGTGGCTGGCTGGATGTGTAGATGGGTAGATGGGTGAATAGGTGGGTGGATAGGTGTGCCGGTGACTGGATGTGTGGATGGAGGTATGGATGTCTGGGTGGGTGGCTGGATACACGAGTAGATGAGTGAATGATGGGTGGAGAAAAGGATGGGCTGGTGGGTGACAGGAAGTTGATGGCGGCCAGTAGCACACACTGGGAGTTAGGTTCTGTGGTTCTGAAAGGACAGCTCCCTGGGTGTTTCACACGTAAGAGTTGGCAAATATCTTTCAGTCTTTTAAAACTCCTCTAAAAAACGTAAATAACCCAGAGTTTTACAGAGTATAAAAATCAGAGTTAGCAAGATCCTGAGAGATCATGCACTCTGTCTTTACTTGAAACATGGTTCAGTGGAGTCCCAGAGCGGGGATGTTAGTAGAAGCCGGGCCACCGGCGTGAAGCCCTTGCCATGCTACCCTAGCGAGTAGAAGCCGGGCCACCGGCGTGAAGCCCTTGCCGTGCTACCCTAGCGTTTATGCAGTGTTCTGCTGGCAGCCAGCCCATCCTCGTGGCTCTAGGAAGGGCAGCGTTCCATGTGCTCCCAGGTCCGTATTGACCATAATGACCCTGAGAAGTCCTGTAGGAAACTCCTGTCCAACTGGGTTGGGAGTTTCCCTACTTTGCAGGCTGTCAGAACCCTTGTTCTGCCGGACATGGTCCCCTCCTGGCAGGCGTGTGTGGAAGGAGGACGTGTAAGAGGGATATTTGCTGGGCTCCTTTCCTGAAGCTCAGCCCCAGGCCAGGCACCATGAGAGCTGCCTCACTCAGTGCACACAGGCTTTCTCGGCTCACACATCTTTACTGACCGACTTTACAGTTGAGGAGACTGAGGCCCAGAGTGCTCACTGACAGATCAGGGCCACCTCATGGGTTGTTCCCATTTGGTCTGTGCGGGCCTCCAGCCCTGCCTCGTGTGGGGCCCCCCCCAGGTTCGGCTGTCCTGGCTCGGCACCCAGACCCTGGTTCCTCCCTGGGACCCCTGCCCAAGGGAGCATCCTGGTCCCTTTAAGGGCCTCTCCGTCGCCCACCCCTTTCCTGGTTTCCTTGGAGAGGGCAGTGAGGGGGCAGGCCAAGGGGGGGAAGCGGAAGGAAGACTTGGCAGGGTCCCCGGGTCGCTGTCAGCAGCCGGTTCCCAGCTCAGTCTCTCCCACGCCGGCCGGTTCCTGATGGGGGCAGAGGAGGCTGGGGGAGGGGTGCAGGGGGAGGGGACGCGCCCAACACAGAGGCCTCTTTGGTGGCCTGGGAAGAGCCTCAGTATCTGCACCGTGATCGAGAAGGGAGGAGGAGGATGAGCCTGTCCCAGCTTGGGTGGGGCCTGGGGAGCAGGGAAGGGGTGGAGTGCTGCTCTCAGAGATGAGCCCACCCTGGCCTGGCACCAGCCCCTTCCTGGGTACCCCTTTCTCTGAATGTCCTCTTGCTTGGTCCTTGGGTAGGGGCAGCAGGGGCTGGCAGAGGCCTGTGTGAGCCTCTTCTTTCTGGGTGCAGGGTCCTCTCCCATTCAGGGGCTCCTGGCAGCTTTCAGAGCTGGAGGGAATGGACCAGGTCATAAGGTCACGGTTGCAGGCAAGTCCCTATGGCCTGAACTTGGAGTGGGCCAGCCTCCTCCCAGTCCAGGACAGACCCTTGGGCCTGCCCAAGGTCTCTGCAACTGGGAATGGACCCAGCTCTTCTGCCCAGCCCAGGGGCCTCTCAGCTGCCCTTCCCCAGGCCCTCTTACTCCCCCACAGGGCCTGGTCGGGAACTCTGGGACCCCATCTGTCCCTGCCCAGTGCCCTCTTCTCCACCTGCTCCAGGTCTCTCCGCCCACTGCCGTGCCCCCCCCCCCCCCCCTCTTTCTTTCTTCCTGGCAGTGGCCCAGATCACAGCGAATCCTTGGATCTGTGTTTGTGTTCTGTCTGCCCTACCCCAGCAGAGCAGGAGCCCCCCAGGGCAGGGTCTGGGTTTCTTCCGTGGCTCCAGGCACACAGCAGCCCTCAGGAGGTGTTTGTTCGGGGAGTCCGAGTGTGCCCCATCTTAACAGGGTCACTCCCTCTCTGGGGCTGGGGGCTTCCACATTCATTGGCTCATGCACTCATTCCCTGAACACATCTGACCACGGCAGCAAGGGCTCACTGTCAAGGTGCCACGCCGTGTACCTAACAGGACACCCACCAGAGATGCCTGGCCCTGGAAAGTCCACCTGCTCCCCACTCCATGAGAAGTGAGGAGCGAGGTTCAGAGCCAGGCTGCCCAAGACACAGCTGTGAGTTGCCCCAGGTGCCTGCTTGGGCCCCTGTGTCCTGAGGGCTGGGGGCATGCAAGTCTCACAGGTGGGGTTGGCAGCCAGGGCAGCCCCTCCCTCAAGCACAGAATTCGTGGATCTGACAGCACTGGCTGTGCACACCCAGGCCTCAGTTTCCTCAACTGTGCAATGGGACAGGAGGTGAGGGACCACTACAGTGAGAGTCTCTGCCCTCCTCCCCATCCAGGGAGCTTCCTGGGCAACTGGAGACCACCAGCCACCAGCAAGGGCCCAGGGCTGCAGCACCTCCCCTGCCTACAACTCCCCAGACACCTCCCCCTGCCCACACTACCCCTCCTGCCTCCATTCTTTTTCTTCTAGAGAAAGTCTACCAGATGCATGGCCTGTGGCAGCCCCCATGAGACATGGCTGGGAGGGGCTTCTGCAGTGGAGGAGGGGACTGGTGGGCGTAACAGACCCTCTAGGCTGCCTGCCAGACCCCTGTGCCACTGCCTCCCCGGGGCCCCAGCCTCCTTCTCCCTCTCTTGGGAGCTTGACTGTGGCTCCCAGGCCTGCCCCAGCCACAGGCCGCTAGACCTTTGCTCACCCTGTTCCTGCTGGGCAGTGCCATCCATCCCACACCTGCCCCAGCTGTGCCAAGTGGGGGAGCCTGTGGGCTGGGAATGCCCACTCCAGGCAGGCCCCTCACTGGCACACACACACAGGGTAGCTTGGCAGTTGGGAGGGGCAGGGATCCAGCCCCAGCCCTGTTCCTCACTGGCAGGGTGGCCGTGGGTGACTTCCCCTTCTCTAGTCTTGGCTTCTGTGTCTGTAAAGCCAGGCTGCTGTGACTATTAAGGAACGGGAACGGGGCCACTCAGCAGGTGGGCACCGTCCTACCCTCCAAGTTCAGGACAGCTTCTGAGAGGACGGCAGGCAGCCGCTCAACAGAGCGCCACCCTTGGGGGCTGGAGACTTGGGGTACGGCCACCTGTGTGCTGGGATTTGGGGCCAGTTCTGGGAGTGGGCTTCCTAGAGGAAGGGAGCGTGCACCAGCTATGAAGAGGGAGCTGGAGTCCACTCCAGGCCCCAGGCGCCTCAAAGGCCCAGAGGCCGAGAGCCACAGTGGGAGGGCTGCCTGCAAGGTGTCTGCAAGATGTGGGGTTGGAAGCGGCTGGGGTGGGTGGGTCTGCTCAGGCCCTGGGCCTCCAGGGGCCCCTTGCCTGCGCCCCCATGCCGCCTTTTAGAAGCAGACAGGGTGAGCTCTCTGGCCCTGAAGGTGAGCAGAGGTGGAATAGCTGGGGGTGGCGAGGGCGTGCAAGGAGAGGGCTGCCACTTCCTGGGTGCCTGCTCCGTACCAGGCCTTCTGCCGGGAGCTTGGAAGAGCCAGACAGGCCCAGACCTAGACCAGAAGCCGGCGCTCCGAATGGAGTCACAGCAGGCTTATGGGTTTGGGCCCAGGGGGAGCAACTCCTCAATGCCCACCCGGCTCCTTTGCACCCAGATGGCCCCCAGCAGCCATCTCAGCTGGCCCTAGGCCTGGTGCCCTGCCTGTGGGGCTGGCTCCTGGGCCATGTCTGCGCTTCCCTCAGCACCAACAGGCCTGCGACTGGGCCCCGCAGGGCTTCTCATGTTCCTCACAATGCAAGACGCCAGGCCCGTGGCTCCCGTCTGGCGCTGCCTGGGATCGGGGCAGGCAGACTGGACATTTGTGTTCCACCTCCGCCCCGTGCCACTCCTCCACCGTGCCCCCGTGCCCTCCTCCACCATGGGAGCTCCTCTCAGCCATGCCTCGTTGGGGTGAGGGCAGGTGGAGGGGCTGCAGGAGCCCGAGCCATGGAGATGGGCCCGGAAGGCTGTGAGCTTCTTCCGCTCAGCACCGGTGTCCCTCTACCCAGGAGCACAATGGCTCATTTAGGGCAGCAGAAAAGGCTTCATCAAAGCCCCATCTTACCAGGCCCCTCAGTGTTACCCTGAGGTCAGAGAGGGAGGGTGGTGACTGACTGTTCTGAAGGATGTAGGAAGGCAGGATATGAGGTAGACAAAAGGAAGGACTTCCACGTGAGCAGGGAGGGCAGAGTGGTCGTGAGCGTCCATTC